GAAGAACAACAGTTACAGAAGGTAAGTAACCATTCTTTCCTGAGTCTCACCATTCCTCTGCTGTCAGCAAATATCTATGAAACTCACAGGGAAGGTGTCCTATCCCCCTCTAGTGCTGATCCACATGACAACCTACTACTGCTATCAGAGCCAATATTAGCTTACATGGCATAGGTCTTTGTGGTGGATCTAAATGTCCCAACCCTGCCGATGACCCAGTGGGTATCAATATGATGTCACATAATAGAATTTCTGTGTTTTCAGTTCACTATCTTAAGAAAGGAGTAAATTACACCCCTCCACACACACACATTAAAAGAGCATTAAGGTTGCAAAGTCAAGAACTCCAGAGTTGGGAGATGCCAGTACTAAGGTTGCTGACTTGAGACCCTGGGGTCTGATTTGCAGAAGTGCTGAGCACTGGCAGCTGCAGATTCAGTCAATGGGAGTGAACATATAGAGTGCTATAGAATGCTAAATTCTACGCAATAGCAGGTCCTAGGCATCTCAAATGGGAGATGCAAAATTAGTGGATTTTTAGACTCTAATCTCTCTGACCTCAGTTCCCCATTTGTCCAAAGAAGTTTACAGTCTAGATTTCATTTTTTTAAATGACTTGGGTTGAGGGATTAATCTGATTAACTGTAGGAACAAATGACAGTATTTCAAGGTCTTATCACCGGCTTGTGCCAGCATAACACGTAGCCAGAGATCATGAAATCTTAGTCTCATTAAGTTAATAGCAAATATCCCATTGACTTCAATGGAGAGAGGATGTCACCCCTAATTGCTATGGGGCAAAATCAAGGTCAGGTTTGCACAGCAGCAAAGGGATGTAAGGAATGCCATGGATTGCAGTGTGGGGACGACAGAAGGCTCTGTAGAGCTTCTAGACTCACCCCATCCCCACCCCCAGCCCCCTCTCCATAAGCAGGTGAATGAAAATGGGCAGGGAATGGACAGATTCTTGGCTCTGCCTCCCCAACACATTGGCTAGCTATACTAGACAGTGAACTGCAAGAAATACACTGCACCAGGTGTAGACTTAGTGCAGGGGTAGGGGAAGACCTGGAGGCAGACTGTGGCTTTCTCAGGGCTCATGGCAAAACACAGTTGAGTCCAACATTGGTACCTGCAAATGACTGTGGACTCAAAAATGGAGGACGGTTTTAAGCCCCTTTAAATATGTGAACCTCCGTATTTGTATTTATGCTTTACAGTTGTGCTGCATTAACCCATTAAAATACTACAGTTTTCGCCAGTAATCTCACAAGACACTACAGTATTGCTACTGTAACATATATTGTGTCGCATCATTACAGTAGAATATTGCAATGTTTTCTCATAAGAAAAATTAGCCTACAGAAATCAAGTTATCTGCTGCTTTTATTACCAATCCTAGCATACT